CACATGGATCAGCAACCGCGAGTCGCATGCTGCACACTACATGGACAAGCGGGCCAGTGCGGTCATGATGGCGTACCTGCTATTGTGCAGCCGCTGGAGGAGCTGTTTGCTGATTACTTGCAAGATCGAGACGAATTGATCACGTCTGAGGCAATAGATCCCAATTCCCTGACGGAAGAAGAGCAAGATGAGCTCGAGGCCGACGCGATGGAGGTCGAAGATTTAATCGAGCCAGACACTGTTGGCTCTGTTGACGACCAGCACGACGATCTACGAGCGGCCAAGCGTGTCGCACAGGAGGGCACGTATGAGCTGCTGTTCAACATTGCGCCAATGCAGCTCGAAAAACAGCTTCGGCCAGGCCAAGTCTACCGAACCATCCAGGCCGTGACCAAGCGGTTTCTTGGAACCAGCATCACTGTCAGCGCATGGCGGCACATGAGTGTGGCTTGGCTGCGTACACTGGTGTTGCATCATACGCCCGAGCCTTCATTGGGGGCGTTGAATGTGGCACACTCTCAAAGCCAGCATGCAGGCAGAACGGCACGCAACGTCTATGGCCGCACGCAGCTCGATCACAAGTTTGTGTCCAGTGAAGCGCAGTACGGCCATCAGTTTGTGTCTGAAGAATGGCACAAGCTCATGAAGCTGGTAGATGTAGAGGATCAGATCCAAGCCGAGGCCGTGGATGGGCAGACCTAATACTATGCAGAAAGGTAGCTCTGTCCAATACCCGACTATGGTATATGTTTACGAGGAAGTTGTGAAGGGGAAGTTCTGACAATGTAACGGTCACCATGTGGTAAAAGTCCGTTGTCTAATTGTGTGTGAAGTTGTCTGTTCCTGTCGAGTTTATGTTAAAACCAACGCGCTTTTCGAGCAAAAAAAAATCCCACTCGTAAGCCATTGTTTGTGTCGTGCATCATATTAAGTATTATATTTCCACCTTCTTCACATGACTTTGAAAAGTGTTGACTTCATCACACTGTGCACTTCTCTTCCGTTTTTTTTTTTTTCGCAGTCGTCTCAAGCGCCCGCCCCTTCATGCTCATGGCTGCCTCCTCGGCGTAAAACAAATCGCATGACGCATCATACCTGGTTCATGTCCTATTGACTCTGCTCTGAGACACGCACGTTCTCACCATGCCCAGAGTCAAGGAAATGCCGTGCAAACAGTGCGGCCAGATATTTCCCAATCGAGGGGCAAAGGAACAGCATGTCTCTCGGGTGCGCTCAACCACTCGGCGATCTTTGGAGCAACCGAGGCATCAAATCTCACGATGCGTTGGCAATAGGTCCATCAAAAAAGCACGTCCGTCAGGCTCAATGGGCAAACCATCCTGAGGCACCGAGAAGAAGATGG